TTATTAATAAAAGCAATCTATTACCAACGAGTGTCTGTAGGTAAATATACATAAGAAACATCAAATAAACCGCTTCTGATCTTTCTTTAATTTGTTTCCACGTGTAAGAGAATTAAAATCACTTTTCTGGATGAGTGATCTGAATTATTAGTAAAAAAGCATTTATATCCAAAATCTAATCGGTTTATCAAACTTTTTTATATAGTATAAACTAAAGTCGCGTCCGGTGTCTGTTCGCTTTTAAACTACGCAACAAATTTTTACTGCAGTTTTTAGCAATAGACAGAGTGATTCAAGAGGCGGGTATGTATCAAAAAACAAAACCATTACTATAATAAACACATACAAGCTTCATATAATGTATATAAAATAGTTTCCAATTATCCCAGCCGTATAGCATTTTAGTACAAAGTTATGCACCTGTGCGTGCACGGCAAAGGCCAGCTCCCGCACGGGTCACCGCAGCGTACTCCCTTTTGTGGCCACCTCAGCTACTCGCACGAACCACCCTTGCTCGGGTAGACAGTGTCATCCTACAGGCCTATAGGAACATAGGTCTCATTCGGTCACATTTCTCGTGGTAAATCATTACTCTATCAAATCAAAGGGGAATGTGACGAGACGAGAACAAAATAGTCGCAATTATATTCCACATTTTTTTAAAATCATCATTTCCTTGCCTTTCTACTATTATTTGAGTTTGAGGCAGTCTGTCATTCTCTTCCACTGATCTCTATCTGCAGTCATATATGAGCATACTCTCATTTTATTCATGTCATCTTTCACATAATCCATCCATCGTTTTTTAGGGCGTTCTCTACCTTTCCATTCATCCACTTTCATATTATTATATATATATTCACTTGCCTTAAGATATGATCCTTGTTCCTCCGCATAACATGTCCATACCAGCTCAATTTATTATCTCGCAACTTGTCTATAACTGGTGCAACTTTCAAACTTCCTCGTACATACACTTTCCTGGTTACCTGTCATCTAAAACAAAACAATTACTATATGAACATAAATAAAATATAATGTATAAAATAGTTCCCAACAACCAAATCCGATTATAACTAAGCTTTCAACATTAAGGCATTAAGTATAAAATGAAATATTAAATAAAATAAATTATTTGAATAAGGATTTTATAATGTATAGCAATCCTACAGATTCAAATCCAAAGTAATTTATTTCATGATATGCAACAGACAGGTACGCTAAACATTTAAACATATTCAAAGTTTAACATATCATAACAATGATATTATTAAAGTACTTAATATTTTTATTATATCATGGTCACTAAAATGCCCAGATGTGGGCGGGTCATTGGGCTCTCTAAAACATAATCGAGCCCAGAATGACGAAAATTACTGGCTCATACTCGTGAACGAGTGCTCCGTATTGGGACTGTAATCAATACGACTGATTCAATCTTATTAGTTACTAAGCAACTAATTATGCACGTAACATTGCAACTCTAGTATATTATAATACTAGATTGATAGTGGATAGATAGAGTCTGTGAATTAGTGCTAGTGTTTGTGCTTAGTTAGCAGTTTGTATTCACAGACTTTAAAAATGTAACTATTGGAAGACGAATACGTATAAAGAATAAATAAAAATAGAGAGTGGACTGTATTTTTGTAAAGAAATTAATTAATGGAAAAGGATGGAGAAATACGATTTCGCCCAGATAGAACGTCTTCCGCTGAATAATCCAAAGTAAACAAAGTAACACCAAACTTACTCGGGAACTTTCCGGTGTGTGTAATACAGTTTAGTGGCCACGCACTTTAGACTGTATATTTTAATAAAAACAGTTAAATTACATTAATTAAATTAATACTTTTTTTGTTTTAAAATAGTTAAAATTACGAAGTTTCCTTTTTCTTCCAGTTCTTATTTTCAATTGTTTTTTTCTCCTAAATTCGAATTTTAAGTGGCCATAGCTTTGTGACCAATATTATCAAGCGGCCTTGTAAACAAGCCAGTGATACAACCTGCTTATACTAAGGAGGTATTCGGAATACGGAACACTACAATTTAAACACTACGCTTTCCGAATCAGCAGTAAATTAATAAAATAAATATGACTATTGAGAAGTGCTTAAATTTAAGTTTATTTGAAAAAAGAATTTTCTATTCTATTCTATTCTTAGAAAAATACGGCCTAAAGGTATAAATTAACAGTTTTCTTATTAATTTTAAAAACGCTATCTACTTTTGTTAATTTTTTTTTTTTTGTTGTGTCAATATAATGACGGCTTTGGTGTGGTCTAGTGGTTTAGCGCATTGGTTTACCTCCAATGGTTGCGGGTTCAATTTCTCGCATATGTTTGTTTATTCTTTGTATTGGATGCTTTCTATGTTTATATTACGTATATATTCACAAAAATATGTAGTACAATACTTATTTCTATTAGTTGTCTAGTAAACATAACACAAACTGTGTTTAGTTTGAGACTAGACGGCGCCTTGTAAATTGTACGTGATTATTATTATTCTTAACGTGAAAGAAAAACTAAGAGCTGTCAGTCTTACATAAGCTTAAATACTTATAGCGCAATGTAAGTAGGTACTAGTTTTTAATAATGCTTGTCCTGTTTATGACATGCTCGAAATAATACGCCAACATCAGTTTAGTGTTCATGTTACAAGTCACGTCAAATAACAGATTTTTTTAAATATTTTTTTGTTTTTATTTGCAAAGGCAATGGGCCTGCTTATTTACTTCTTTAAGTTTTTTTTTATTAAAAACCCTGCCGAAATCGTTTATTATACAATATATTACGTGCCTCACGTCAGACCTGTTATTTTTTTTACTATAGTGGTTCTATTATTTTTGTTACTGAGGAGTCCTCCCGCGTATAATTAGGTTGTGGAATGTACCACCGGCCGAGATTTTCTTGAGGGACTACGGTACTGGGTCTTTTAAGAATTAAAGTTTCTTAAGGGTCAACAACGCGCATGTTGTTTCAGGTACCATCAGATGGACCGTATTCTTGTTTGCCACCGTCGTTGTTTAAAAGAATAGTAGTCCAATTACAGCTAACAACCAGTATCAATATTGTATACCATGAAAGCTGCACCAGCAGGTAATAAAAGAAGCAAGAAAAAATATTTATTCAGTGCTAACAATGGAGACAAAAACAATCGAATAAAATTTAGAATATAATATTTATATATTAATAAAAATTGTTGCATATATATAGCACTAAAATGGCCAGCATTTAAAAATAATCATCGACATTTGAAAATAAAAATTCATGAAGAATTTTAGTAGTTATTTTAGTTAGTCTAGTTAATTCCCCATCTTCACTGTTCAATAATTAACTTTTGCCTCTTCGCCGAGCATATTCAAATATACCTATATTACTAAGTAGAGTGCGATTAATTTATACGTGAAGTGGAAACAATTACATACACTAGGTGTTCTTCGCGTCTTCGTCTTTACGTAATTTACAGTCATATCTCCACCCGTAATCCGAAATATACGTAACAAACCAAAACATACCAAATCAAATAAAATTTATTTTACGATAAACAGAGTTGTGATTGTCAAATATACTGTCTCCATATGGAGAGGGGGGGGGGGACATAATCCCAACTAATAACCCCATTGCTAGGAATGTACCATCAGGTTGACCTCAACGTGGTCCTCCCAGGAAAACAACACATGATAAATTCATACCACCATCATGGCTAACTGAGCTGACCTCACGTTCATCTTGTTATCTTCCACTAGTGGCCCGTCAGTGTAAACCGTTAGCGCAGGCAGGTGCACCATTCCATTATCATCCATAAGAAAAAAATGTTTTATTATGTTTTGACTAACTATATGTGCGATTATTATTTTTTTAATAAACCTCTATGAAAAATACTTTCGGGAATTATTAAGTAGTTAATTTTTGCAATAACAAAAAATAAGACGATGTACTAAAACCTGTAGAGTATCTACAAAGGTCATTAAAAAAATAGGACGTTTTTAATTAAATTTAATATAAAAAATGTATCCCTCAAATACACGTTTCCACTGTAATTAGCACGTAATCAAAATCTGTGGGGAGCTTCCGGATATTTTCTAATCTTGAAATTTAGACGCAAAGCAAGAATATTAAGGTAAATGTAAAAGGAAATTCTTAAATTTATACTTCCCAAGCGACTTCAAACAGAAGGAGATATGAGGTTAATCGCCTTACTGTATAAGATAAATTGTTTTTTTGCATCTTACAACAATAACAGTGACCTGTAAAATCTATTTTCACGTTAAATATCCTTAAGCAGTTTAGTAGTGAAAGAGTAACAAACAAACAGATAAATAGAAAGATAGTTCATATTTATAATATTAGTATATAAGCATGAATTTTCCACTGAGTATGTTTGCTTTTATTTTCGCTTTATTTCTTATATTTTATTAGTTGTTACTTCATCTTATTGTCATTATTTCTATGTAATAAATGTACCTCGTCATAGAATGTTTCTTCGTGAAAACGTGACAGAGTTCACTCAATTCGCACTTGCCCCGATTTTTTCTCTCTATCTCTCTAAAACAAAAAAAAAATTTAAAAAAATCATAGCAGGGCAACGGTAAAAGATAAAATAACTGTAATGTTCTTTGAATAAAACGCAGTTATCCGATAGCCGATTTATTGCAAACTAAACCAAGTATTAAGACACAAAGGTGACAACCGTCATTTATCAATAATTCATATACCTACATTTCAATCCTCCTTCTAATTTCCAATTAATCCCTTAACTCATAAATACAAAAGACGGAAGATGAAAAATCTAGAACTAAAAGCTTACAATTATGTATGAGGTATATCTATTCTAATTAACAAAAACAAAGTACCCAAAATTAGTTGCACAGTAATTACTTAATTCTAATCCAAAGTGATTACACCTATGTATATGTATACATTTATAACAAATTATTATATCTTACCTATTTACATTTATGACAATGAATACGGTATTGTAGCCTTACAATAGCCTTAATTAATTAGGCGTTTATTCAATCGACACTGCCTTATAGGACGGCGAGACTGGGTCGGTGGACTAGAGGATTTTTCAGCTTTGGGTTCTTCGTCGACTGCTACTGGGGAGGGGACCCTTCCTTCTTTCTCAAGCTCACCGATTCTATCCATCGTATTCGTATCTTTAAGCTCCCTATCTTCTTTGTCAACCGAATATCTACCCGGGTTCTCATTACTACCCTCAGGCCAGTCGCCAGCTGCTCCCTCGTCGGATGGTAAAGACGATGTACCAATTACAGACGACCTTGATCTCCTTTTTAATTGATCGATATGTCTATGTGATTCCCTACCCGACGTATCACAAACCTTATAATCAGTTGTACCTAAACGTTCTGTCACTGTTCCTGGTAGCCACTTATGTGCTCCACTATATTGTCGTAACCATATCTCATCTCCCGGTTTTAATTTACGTTCTATTTCCAACGCAACCCCTTCTCGCTGCTGTTTGCGTTGACGAGCCTGAGATAACTTGTTTTCTAAATTAGGTCTCAAGACATCCAGCTTAGTCCGCAATCTACGACCTAACATTAACGACGCCGGGCATTCTCCCGTAGTACAATGTGCGATATTTCTATAGTGTAGTAAAAAAAAATTTATACTTAAATTTATATCCGTCCCGTCTCGTAAGGCCTTTTTTATCACTCTTTTAATCGTACGAACGGCATTTTCTGCGGCTCCATTAGAAGCTGGATGGTACGGAGCCGTATGCAAATGAATAATACCTAAACTTTTAGTGAATGCTTCAAAATCGTAACTTGAAAACGGAGGTCCGTTATCAGAGACTATTTGTTTCGGAATACCCCATCTCGCAAATAACTCGCTTAACTTGGCTATACAATGTACTGCCGCAGTACTGGGGACTTGAAATACTTCTAACCACTTTGTATGTGCATCCACAATTACTAAGTAAATTTTATTATTAATGGGACCCAAAAAATCCATATGTATTCTGGACCACGGTCGAGTTGGCCACGGCCACGGAGTGGGCGCGTGCCGAGGTGGTGCGTCCGCCTCAGCCGCGCACGTATTACACATACGACATTGTTGTTCAATCGCTTCATCTATGCCGGGCCACCACACGTAACTTCGTGCCAAGGCCTTGGTCTTTACTATACCCATGTGCGGCTCGTGTAATTCCGCTAACACGACACTTCTACAACATTCGGGCACCACCACTCGATGGCCCCACATAATACAGCCTAACTCCTCATAGAGCTCAGTTTTTCGATTGAAAAATGGTTGGATTGTTCTAACTTCATTAACCGATGGCCAGCCATCACGTATATAACATAATATTCTACTCAAGATTGAATCCCGTTGAGTTTGCAATTTTATCTCACTATGATCCATTAGTAAGGCATTATGTGCAAAATGTAGATATGTTTGCTCCGGGAGGCTTGAAGGGAATTTGGATTGAATGGGTAATCTCGACAATCCATCGGCTGCGTTATCTTTGGTATTTACATACTCAATTTCATAAGAATACGCCGCGATTTTTATAGCCCAACGTTGCAGTCTACTAGCAGCCATCGCCGGAATACCATGTTTTGGGCCGAAAATACTAACGAGTGGCTTGTGATCGGTGCGTAGTATAAAACGCCGCCCGTACACGTACTGATGAAGTTTTTGCAAACAAAATACGATCGCTAAAGCCTCCCGATCAATTTGTGCATAATGTTTCTCCGCGTCGGACAGCGCCCGCGATACAAACACTACCGGTCGTTCCGTCCCGCTCGCGCCGTCCCTCTGTGTGAGCACTCCGCCTATACCGCGCGCACTCGCGTCACACGTTAAATATAAGGGCTTATCGGGATCGTAATGTGCTAATACTCTGCCGCTCATAAGAATAGATTTAATTTCTGTGAAGGCCGCTTCACACTCCTTCGTCCACTCCCACGTGACCCCTTTTTTTAGTAACCAATATAAGGGAACTAAAATAGAACTTATGTTTTTAATAAATTTTGAATAAAAATTGACAAACCCTAAAAATGAACGTAATTCGGATATATCAGACGGGTGGGGAAGTTTTCTAATTGCCTCCATTTTCTCGGGATCTACCTTAATCCCCTCTTTTGAAATAACATATCCTAGATATTTTACTTCCTCCATCATGAATTGGCATTTACTCTTTTTTAATTTCAGTCCGTGGGAGTGTAACTTATTTAAAACCTTATTTAAAGTGAATAAATGTGATTTTTCATCAGGGGTACCTATTATTATATCGTCTAAGAATATTTCCACATTCGGAATATCATTAAAAAGATTCATCATAATACGCTGGAAAATGCCCGGACTTGACGATAGACCATATACTAATCTGTTATATACATATAAACCCCTATGCGTGTTAATTACCGTAATTTACTTGGAATCGTCTAGCTCAAACTGATTATAGGCCTGTGATAAGTCAATTTTCGAATATACCTTAGCCCCGTTTAACCCCACTAAGAGATCATCTATCCGCGGCAATGGAAATCTGTCTACTAATAGTACTGGATTCAAAGTCACCTTGTAATCCGCACAGAGGCGTAGCCCACCGTCCGCCTTACGCACGGGTACCAAGGGAGTAGCCCAGTCCGAGCTGTCGACCGGTCTGATGATTCCTTCGCGCAGCATGGAGTCTAGCTCCGCGTCGACAGCGGGGCGCAGCGCGTAAGGCAGCGGTCGCGCGCGGTAGTACACCGGCGCCGCCCCCTCCCGCAGCCGCAGCGTCGCCTTGCCACCCGTGAACCGACCCAGCTTGCCATCGAATAATTCCTTATATCTGTCGAGTACAGATAGTAAATTACTATTATTACTATTACTATTTTGTGATAATATTGACACATTGTTGCATGACTTCATAAAACATGGTATTTTAATTTTTAAGTCACTCAGCCATTGTCTACCTAATAACGACGTAGTACCCCCTTCGATAACCAATAACTCTAAATTTTTACTTTTTCCCCCATATCGGACCATCGGTCTAATGACTCCAACCGGTTTTATTCGGCTACCATCATAGAATTTTAAATACAAATCTATTTTTTCTAGCGGTCGATTTTTGAAATATCTTTCATATGTTAGTTTACTGATACACGATATAGCCGAACCGGTATCTATCTCCATCTCTATATTAACATTGTCTATTAACAAAGATACTCTTACCGGTTTATAACTATTTAAACATAACTGATGTATCTCTTCCTCCAAGTCCGTATTGCTGCTATCCGACTTCGCCTCCGAGGTAGTCTGCGCTTCCTGGACGTGGAAAATTCTATCCCGGTTATTCTGGCCTCCCTTGCTCTTCGCTCCCTTAGAACACATTCTTCTAAGATGGCCTATTTGCTTACATCGGCCACAGGTGTAATTCCTGAACCGACATGTGCTCTTCCAGTGATCTGTGCCCCCACAAGCATAGCATTGCCGAGCATTATTTCCACTCTGAACCGGTATGTAATTATTCTGCCGCTGACTGCCGCCGTTCCGGTCACCCCCCACAGCTTGTTTGATCGCCATTACGGCACTGGTTCCCGCTGGCGCGCCTACCCTGCTGTCCATCAGCTCCACCGCGGCCGCATCCCGTTCTGCTGCCTCCAACGCACAGGCTATTCTAACTGCCTTCGCGTAATCCAGCCCGTCCTCCGCAAAAAGTCGTTGCCGGATTACATCACTCGTCAGTCCACAAACGAGCTGATCTCTCAAACTCTCTTCGAGCATGGCACCGAACTCACAATATTTAGTTAGTTTTTTTAATTCTGATATATATTGTAGTACACTTTCACTTTTTAACTGTCTTCGTAGTCTGAAATAATATCTTTCCGCCACTACCGAACGTTTTGGTTGCAAATGATTTCTTAATAAATTTACCACTGCTTCGTATGTTCCTTCCGATGGCTTACGTGGGCTGATCAAGTTACTTAATAGTTCGTACGCCGCATCGCCCATGACTGCTATCAATGTTGGCAACCACAAGTCGCGTTGTATTCCGTTCACCTTGAAATACATCTCCAAACGTTCCGTGTACAAAGTCCAATTTCCAGAATGTATATCGAATTCACTTATTTTACCCATTGCCATGGCGAATTCGTACTTCTAATTATATCAATATTTTAATATTACACACCGTAACAGATATATCTGTTTTTATTTTTATCTCGTCGCCAATGTAATATTCTTTGAATAAAACGCAGTTATCCGATAGCCGATTTATTGCAAACTAAACTAAGTATTAAAATACAAAGGTGACAACCGTCATTTATCAATAATTCATATACCTACATTTCAATAACATGCCTTCGTATTTATTTTGAGTATCCATAGACTCGACTCAGTGTCGTATGAAAACAGAATAACGGCCAACGAAAACACAAATACAGTTCATAAATAAACTTGTAGCAGTGTACACGTATGTGTCTTGATACAGTTCGTATATCGGTAAACAGCAATAATGGTCAGGTTTTTCGAAATTGGAACTCGAGTGAGACCAATGAAAAATATTTGAACTCGATTCCAAAACAGAGATACAGTAATGTTATATATATATATAGGAGAAAGACAAGCTGGTATTGAGATACCCATACAGGATGATTTTATATTTTATATGCCGAGCGAAAAGTGGTAAATTCACCACGATGTCGATAGTTGACTATCATAAATAAACATATTAAGTACCATTCTTTTTTGAAATATAATTATAAATAGATGTATCAATATTGTATTAATATTATAATACGGATAAATGGATGGATGGATGTTACTCTTCCACGCAAAAAAACGGATCAGAATCGAATTTTGACGGAACTTCACAGTAATATACCTTATACATCAGAATAACATATAGACAATAAATTGCATGCGGGTGAAACCGCCGGCACAGCTAATACTTGTAAATTACAAGCTTTTTAACTATTTTTACTCATTTACTACGAAACAAGTAAAAGCCTTCCTTCAGTTGGCGGTCGACTGAAAAGTCATTTTAAATAACACAACAAATTGGATTGTTTGCTATTTTAGTATATATTAAACGAGAAACTCGACTTGTCATCCCCGGAGGCTATTTGTGATTGTCAAGGCACTATCCGAGATATTCGACAATTACAGTAAATACCTTCGTCATCCCTCGGGCAAGACATAAATACTTACGATCTTATAAAAGCTGAATTTATCGACAATGTAATAATAGACAATTTCTACATATATCCGTGGTTTTCAACAACATTGGGGATAAGAAGTGTAGGTTTTCAATTCAGTTAATTTTATTTTGTATGTACCAATTTTCGTAATAATTTTTACGCTCGCATAAAAGATGCGAGCGTAAAAATTATTACGAAAATTGTATTTTTTGTAATGGATGATAATGGTATGGTTCCCCTGTCTCCGCTTACGGTTTATGCTGGCGGGGCACCAGTGTAGAATAATAGGATAGATAATAGTATGAGCATGACATCAAGTTGGTAGCCTCATAGTAAATTCATCAGGAATTTATCACGATGGTTTCCAGGGGAAACCACGTGTAGGTCAACTACACCCCCAACAACCCTTGGACTGGAATCTAACATGGTACTTTATTAACAATAGTGTCATCAGGCCACATTATTAAGAATTTCCTTCCCCATCTTTGGTATGCGACCATGCGTTTTTCTAAAAACTTTTTGCCACGTACAACCACATTGTGGAATTACCTTCAGCAATGATATTTTCAAACGAATATGATATTGAAACGTTCAAGAAAAGAGTTTATTCCTTTTTAAATGGCCGGCAAAGCAACTGTTATTCCCCTAGAGTTGCGTTTGGTCATGGACGGCGATAATCGCTTAGTTAGGGCATGTCATCAATACATTAAATTCTATTATGTTAAACTATATATGTGACTGTTATATGAGATATGAGAGATAGATAGAGAAATCGACGCATTTATTTTCTTATTGTTAATGAACTGGTACACCCACCTGCGCTAATAGTTTACGCTGGCGAGGCACCAGTGGAAGTTGATAGGATGAACATGAGGGCAGGTCAGTTAGTCCATCACTCAATGGATCAAAGCAATGCTCTCAAATCGAACCATTAAAACTACTCTTCACAACAGTACGTTAGAAATCCGACCTACCAAAGGATGCCCTCAAGGAGGCGTTTTATCGCCACTGCTGTGGCTACTAACGGTAGACCAGCTCTTAGATGTTATGACCAAAAACCAATTTGAGGTACAAGGCTACGCAGACGAGTTAGTAGTCATGGTCAGAGGGTTCTGTGCAACAACAATATCAGACCGCATCCAAAGAGCACTAAACATCATAGTTAAATGGTGTAAGGAAAATGAATTATCAGTAAATCCTGATAAAACAGTAATTGTTCCGTTTACAAAAAGGAAGAAACTTGACAAACTTGTCATGCCTAAAGTAAATGGAAGAATATTAGAGTGCTCCAAAGAAGTCAAGTACCTGGGCGTAACCTTCGACCAAAAACTGACATGGAACACACACATAGACAACATAACTCAAAAGGCGAAAACATCCCTAGGTATAAGCCGACGGGTAGCGGGGCCCAGATGGGGAATCAACCCCAAAATTGCCCTATGGCTTTACACAGCAGTGGTGAGACCGCTTACCACCTATGCCTGCGCAATCTGGTGGAGGAAAACCCTCCAATCCACAGCTGCCACCAAGCTAAACAGCCTACAGAGAATTGCTTGTCTGATTATTACAGGAGCCATGAGCACCACGCCGGGAGCAGCTCTAGACGCATTATTGAACTTGACGCCCCTTCCTTTATTTATACAGGAAAAGGCGAAAGCCAATATGCTCAGAATAAGTTCCCAAAGGAGGATATCTTGGCATTCCCTGGCCATAAAAACTATACAAGACTCGATTATGAGTGATCCTATTCTGGGAATGCCTGAAGACAACATGGCACCAGAGTGTAACTTTGTACAATATTACAAAATCGAAATATCTGGAAGAGACGAATGGCAAAATAACCATACACCGTCTCACTCAGAGCATGACCTAGTCTGGTTTACAGACGGGTCCAAAATAGGAGATGATGTAGGATGTGGAATATGTGGTGTAAAACCCAAAATCTGCAACTATATAGGCTTAGGAAAATACGCCTCAATCTTTCAGGCAGAGACTTACGCCTTAATTAGATGTCTGGAAGTAATCCTAAGCCTCAACTACATCAATCAGAACATATACATTTATTCGGACAGTCAAGCTGCTCTACTAGCACTTAACTCGTACGAAATCCGTTCTAAACTTATTAGAAACTGTATCCTGCTACTAAATGAAGTAGGAAGCAGAAATAATATTATACTGAGATGGGTCCCCGGGCATTCAAATATTGAAGGCAATGAGAATGCCGACCATCTGGCAAAGTTAGGGGCAAAAACCGTCCAACTGGGCCCCGAACCCTTCTGTGGTGTGCCTCGTTGCCTAAAACTGGGACATCTCAAATTAATAACCAAACGAGAAGCACTGAATCACTGGCAAGAAATGCCAGGATTAATACATTCAAAAGACCTAATATCGGGCTTCTCGACCAAATACTCCAATAGATTACTGCTATTGAGTAAAAGCAACATATGCATGATGACTAGGGCCCTCACAGGACACTGCAAATTGAACAAGCATATGGCTAAGCTAAGCCTATGCACGTCAAGTATCTGCAGATTCTGCCAAACTGAAGAGGAAACGCCGCTTCACATCCTATGTGGTTGTAGCCCACTCATGCATAAACGAAATATCTCCTTTGGAAAGTTTACACTCTTTCCCGAGGAGATAAAAACGATCGCTCCTAAGAATATCCTTCAATTCTTGTCCCTGACGGGTCTAGGTAGCGAACTCTGAAAAGGGCGAGCACAATAGATCTATGTAGGTCGCAGTGCTACAGGTGCTACACATCTGACAATAGCCCAAACAACCCAATAAAAATAAATAGTCCATCAAGACAAATTCACCAGGAATGGAATTTATCATGATGCTTTCCAGGAGGAACCGAGTGAACTTCAACCTGACATGGTACATTAATAGCAATGTGTTCACTAGTCATCCACATTACTAATAATCCTATTTCCTCCCTATATTGACGTATTAGTGATACCAACGAAAATAAAATTCTCGTCTTATACATAAAATTTTCGTGTCACTATTTTAGTTATCATACTCCTTCGTAACGGCTTGATCCATTTTTATGAAATTTTATATGCATATTCAATAGGTCTGAGAATCGGCTACTATCTGTTTTCCATATCCCTTAGTGATAAGGGTGGTCCACCCCTAATTTTTTTTATAATGTGGCTTTTGAAATACATACATCCAACTCTAATTTTTAACCCTTCTTACCATCAACTCCTATTTTTTAATATAGACTTTAATTTATATGGTAAAACAATGTATGCGGGATCTATTAATATATGCAGTGACAAGGAAACTTGATACTTTATAATCCCATTGATTGTAAAGTATCCTTGTCACTTACTGCTGAACAGATATTGAATCTTTATTCAGTATTTATCTCCCATGATTATTACAACGATATTTACTAGTAATACAGCGAGTCTTTCTACGCTACAAGTATTACACTGCAGTAGTACCTAAATAAACATCACTGTTTATTATGTACCTACCTTTAAATTATTACCTACCCACATGTGCTCCAAAATCGCGTAAAGTCTGTTTAAGCATGTTATTACGTAATTTGAAATTTATAGAGAGTTAATATTAACTCCTTATAACGTAGGTTCTAATAATTTTATAAGCAGACATGTTACAATACTTACACTTACAATACGACGAAAGTTTGTCGAAAAAGAAGTTTCTTTTCTAAGTACCTATTATGAATTCTGTATGTATATTTGTATTCTTTTTTATGTATTCTGCTCCTATAAAAATAGATGTAGATATAATATAGTGTTACTGTATGTAATTTATAATCT